TTTTTAATTTCAGCCTGAAATGTTTCACAGCATACGCCCCTCTCCACTCGATTATGGCTCACACACAACAAGCACCGGGGAGGACAAAGGGGGGAAGAAGGAGGGCTACATCTCTCATATTCCAGTCAAAATCGAAGAGAGGAAAGAGCAAAATTAGAAACTATGAGGAATATTCGATAAAAGAATTTGCATAAAAGTTACTTTTAAATGATGATATATCTCGGAACCCATACGCATTGATTCGCTGAACGATTTCGCGCCAATAGGCATAATCATGAATTCCTAAAAATCGCCCGAAATTTACAAATAACAAATGGTTTGTTATAGCACTTTATTCAACAGAAAGAAGTTTCTGCTGGGGGTAAACACAGAACCCTGGAAATGAATGGTTTAATAACGTCTACTATCACGCTCGCGATTTTAATACCATCCTTGAATCGCATTTCTTTACAGCCAGTACAGTGCTTGTCGCTCCTGTTAGCTTTCTCAGTATGTGTTCATTAATCGAACAAAACTTGCTATGCATTCTTTTTTTATGTTTTTGTTATTAATCTTTCAGCTTAATTTTGAAGATTTGACTGTAACTTTTCGAATAACGGGGTTCACCTCAGCTAGGGCTGATTGAGCAATTCCAGGCTACCGCAATCCGTCAGGAAGGTTTCCAGGAAAAAAGAACAAAAACTATTAATAAAGCCTTCAAACACGCACCACATACATGAATGAGATTGAATTCGAAGACAATGAAAGAATATGAAACATAACCCAGAGATACCTGCATGGCGAGTTTGTTGCCGGCATGCGATCCGCCGTTGATGACGTTCATTGCTGGAACGGGCAGGACAACCTGTTTGGTACCAGCTAACTCAGCGATATACTTGTACAAAGGCATGCCTTTATGCACTGCGCCAGCTTTGCATACCGCCAACGAAACGCCCAAAATTGCATTTGCTCCCAGCTTCCCTGAAAATATCCAGAAATTCATGCATTCCCTAGATAACTTCCTTCGGCCCTCATAGATACGGGAAATATTAAATTTTCGAAGGGAAGAACTGCAAATGCTTCCTTTCAAACGAGTTCCGTCGCCTCTTTGAGTAATTTTATATTTAGAAAAAATTGTAAAATTACGTGCCAAGGTTCTTTTTTGCTCAGTAAAATGCACAAAAAACGTTTATCATGAAGAGGAAAAAATGAGTCACTTGCACTCTTTTATGCTTTGTAAAGACATTTTCCTGTGGGCACCAAGGGCACTGTCATATTTTCTCAGCTGCCTTCACAAACAGTGCAAAACGTGAAAGGGGGGGGGG